AGTGGTGCTTAACATCCCGTCTTGCTTGAGACTTTCAAGAGTTATGTCTCAAGTTTAATCCACGAAAAATAAATTATTGAGTTGCTTCCAATGATTTGTCGGGACGAGGTTGGACTATGACTCAAAGTAGCCCTCAAGAAGGAATAAGAACTTCTACATTAACGTTTGATCGTTTTCTTATAACCTTTTTAATAGCTAAAAAAATTGTTTATGGAAATAATTTACATAATACTAACCTAAACACGGTGTGATTTGATTGTATCTATTAAGGATTTCCTAAATGTTTGACTTGACATTTGTCCAATTTAAGTACATATAATTAAGATATTAAAATATAACATGATCCGTTAATACGATACAACCCATTTGATTAAACCATGAAATTGAATGGTTCATGTGATGATGTTCTGGTAAAGTAAGGGCCTTAATGTGAATTACAAACTTCCTTAAAACACGGGCATCAAGAAAGTGAAGAGAAGACAAATCAATTACACTAAAAAGAATTACTTTTTAATTAACATGAATGATAAATAATTCAAAATCATATTCTATACAAACCCAATATCTTTCTCTTTATGACTTTTTAGGCTTTGTTGATGGTATTCCCGTACAATTAGTGATTTCAATGTTTTGTCCTTGTTTTAGACTTGACCTTCCTATCCACTTATGTAGAGTTTCTTGGGTTAATTATATTTTTTGTTCCAAAGTTTAAGGAATTCTCATTTTGATATCCTTAATTTTTTAGGAATTTTCTTCTCCAACTTTTTACAAGTTTTAATTTAGCATAATAGATAATTTTGTCAGAAAACTTGAAAAAAAATAACACATATATAAAAAGATATATTTCATATAAGAGTTGTATATTTTTTAAATTTGTGTCAACTCATTTATTTATTAAGGTTGACGGATTTACTTGTTTACATTTGAACCCGTTGATCAAGCTAGCCTCGATGTACAAACTCTTTGTCAATTTCGTGTTAATTAAGTTTGCAGATTGTGCCTATAATTTTCATGTCCATATATCATCAGAAGAAATGACACTTGATGTATACATCCTTCTTATCTAGATTTTATTATTATTTTTTTTTTAAAGTAGGAGTTAAATTTTGGATAAGAAACATATAACATCGGGTAAGCAGAAAGTATAACGCCTATTTTAAGAGTCATATTGAGAGAAGATTGAGTGGTTCATTACATAATAATAGGTTGGGTATGATGCCCAAAACAGCTCTGTTTTGACCAATAAGCCCTTCCTTATGTTATGTGATTTGCACGTGGGGTGAAATAGACGATAAGTAAAACGAGAGTTATTTAGTGGGCCCGACTGAAACAAATTTGTTTGATTGGGGTGCAATTTGAGAAAATTGAACTTTTATGTTGCAATTGAGAATTTTTTGAGATGTAAAGTGAGATTAACCCTTAAAATTATAGGGTATTTGGAATCAATTTTAATATTATAGGATTGATTATGAAATTATTTGAATCGAATCCAAACACCATAAAAAGTTGTAACTTATAACTTGGAACTCTAAATTTTGAAATCTTTTAAGATTCATCCAAATTTTTCTGTTGTAATTTAATCACAAATACTTGTGTCTTGGTCTATAAAAATTATAAACTCTAGCACTATACTTCTTACGCGCTCTCATATGGGCCGGCCTGTTGATCTTCCACATCTGATGACCCAATTCCATATCACCCGAGTCGGGCAGGCCCAAATGATGACGTTTGGACTTAAAAGGAGAGTAGATTGTGATGATCTAATCCCACGTCGACTAGTGAAGTAAATGTAGAGTGATATATAAGAGTGAGTTTTGTACTTTTATTGTATAACGCATTCTAAAATCATACAGGCCTAGTCCAAAGCAAACAATACTGTAATATGGTTGCACCCATTTTCTGCTATGCTGGAGTGTACACCACATGAGGTGAATGAAGCGAAGGATAACACCTGATCAACTACAAGAAGTATTTTGGTTCAAAACTACGCTTAGTTAACAAACATATGAGTTTGAAGCTGAGGGCAGCATAGATACGAGATTATTGAAGTGAAGTTTGGAATCATTATAGTATTTTATCTTGAGATTACTTAATTGGAGAATCACCAAGGCCTTTGGACCTTCCGTGGTTCTCAAATGGTCAGGTTTGAAACATCGTCTCTACTTGGTCATATTTCCTATCTCTAGCACATTCTTCACCCTCTTTCTTCTCCGCTTTCAATGCTATCATCTTGGACACACCTTTGAAAGCCATACTGTTTAACCTTACGAACAGCTATTAACTTTCTATGAACACTACTTTGTCATGAGGATTGCTTGGTATTATGTTAAAATTGTCAGTGTGCCTAAAAACATTCAATTCTGTGTAATATACCAGTATAACATATTGATGAGTGAGGTGTTGGATGCTAGGTGGGAGTCTTCGACAGTAGAAGCGATCCTTGTCTAATTTCAATGTCGCCTCCTCATGTTACTGGTTCGTTGTACATGGGGCGTGCAATGTTTGTGACTCTTGAGGTTCGAGGAAGTGGCCTGCTAAGAATTTGAGATGACTCTCATTTTTCTGTATGATTTTATTGCTTTCTTACTGAGATTGATGCCAGTTTACATCTTGATCAGTTGTGTCAAGTCCATTGTTCTAATTGCTAGATGCTTTATCAATCAATGTGGGCAACGTTCAATTTTCCGGTCAACAAAAGTCCAATCAAAAGGAGTACGAAAAATGCCAACACGCCTTTGGCAGCCTGATCTACAAAAGCCTGAGCACAGACCAGTGAGGTGTTTTACGGCGGATTGGGAGTATATATATGGGCCGATTCGGATCAATATGGAATTATTATCTCATGCTGATTCTATATTTTCTCCTGTGTCGATAATAGTGGGCACAATACAAATACTCTATTACTCTATGCAGGTTTAACATCTCCTGAACAAAGGGATTTCATTCTTCTTCTTTTGTTTTTGTTTGATAGATTGGTTTAGTTTAAGCAGAAAGACGAAATATAAATTGAGGAATACACTTCGTTAGGAGATATGAATGCCCAGTGATACAAGATCAAACAAACATATTTGAAACTTATTTTTCACTTAAAGGCTTAGAGACTATGGGCCTGTTTGTTTTGTAGGTTTGGGGGAGTTTAGGAAAAATAGTTCAAAAGATCTCCAAATCTTATGTTTGGATAAAAATTTTAATCTTGAGTTCCCAAACTCAGCCCGCGACGGACGCGGATATTAAACTCATGATTATGGGTTTTGTCAAACCTAGGAAAGTGAATTTTGTCAAACCTAGGTTAAGGATACAAAAAAACAATTGTACCCATTAATATGAATATGAATTGGGTTGATTAGGAGGCAAAATAGTTATTTATAGGACAAATGGTTGATAAAAATTATGATATATCCGTGGGTCCTATATATATATATATATATATGTGTGTGTGTGTGTGTTGTATAACAAACATGGATATTGACTAGATTCAATATTGAATCCTTTCGTTTTAAGGAGGAGTTTGAATTTAGAAAGATTTAAGGAAACCAATATAAATTCTTTCCAAAAATCAATTCAAGCAAGTCCTTTAAGTAATGAATTCATTCATAAATTGGCCATACTCCACGCTTTGCAGTAAACTCCAAATTCAAGAGTGTGGATTGGAATCTTTGACCTAAGCTCAACCAGCATTAGGTGATAAAGCTCCATGTCACTTTTGTTTTTAAATCTCCTAAGTTTTTTATTAAGACAAACCTTAAATTAAATAAGAGTTTTTCAGAAAGATTAATTTTTTCATAACAAGTGACGTACTTGGTTCAATTTATAGGGGTGTAATTTGTGTGGGTTGAGAGGTCAACGCTTATCCAACTTTAAGTATATAATTTTCAACCATAATCTTAACTTTAACCTTACCTCAACTTGACTTCTGCCCAATTTTAACTCGGGTTGAATTCGGATTACTTAATTCGGGTTAAAAATCGGGTTGGACTCAAATCACTTAATTTGGATTGATAAAAGAGAGAAGACTGACTAGTGAGAGAAGGAGGCTGAGAGTCTGAGACAAGACTCAAACGAGGGAAAGAGGGAGGCTGAGAGTCTGAGGCCAGATGAGAGACGAGATGAGTGAGAGAGGGATCTGAAAGTAATGGAGGCATAGGGATAAAAACTTAAAGTGAAATGAAAGTTTGAACTCTAAAGAGTGAAGATAAATATTAACCCTAATTAAATATATTTATATATTTATGCATATTCGAGTTCAAACCGATTTTAATATTCGGGTTGAACGTGACAACTCGAACTCTCAACTGGAGGCTTGTCCAAATTCAATTCGGATTAGAAATTTTTTGTCTATGCTCAACCTAAATATTACAAATTCTATCCCAAGCCCTTTGTTTTTTTCGAGATGGGCACAGGTTGAATTCGGATTGGCATACCCAAATTACACCCCTAGCAATTTAGAATCATTAATTTCAGTCAACAACAAATTTCATCCCACTATATTCTCAGCAAGTAGGTTAAGTGCTGTTTGTCTATTTCTGCTCTAACAATGTTTACATTCACATATTAAATTTATCATGCGTGCTCCTCCATACATATAGTTGCCTGGCAAGCTTATGTCATGTTCTGTTCGTTTCGTTTATAACTTGTGCTGCGTCAAAATTTACTCAATCCACTAACCGGTGCGTTTGTAGTTGTTTATATTTATGTCCGTGTCACATATGCATCATCTTTTATGGGCTCGTATTATGTCCAATAAGGTTAGTGTCGACCTATACATTAGGTGAGTCAAATGGGTTCACCTGTTGATCAATCATGCCTAAAGATGAAATCTGGAACCATCAATTTCAATCGCGTTGTGTTCGTGGATCTGTCCAGTTCTTGCCTGGCTTTGAGCAAACAGAGAAACAGCTTTAAACCAACATGATAAGAAGAAGAATTATCTAATTTCTTTCATGGAGCAATTTTATTCAAGTTTGCAACGTACATCAGCTGCAACTGACAATATTTTTTTTCAGAAAAGAAGGTACCCGAAAATAATCGAGAACAGGTTTTTGGCTGTTCATACTAAAATACAAACAGAACTTAAAACTCAAACAACAATCTTGATCAAGTGTAAGCAAATTTTATAATCGACAGAAAAAACATAATCGAGAAGCATACGAAGAAGATGAAACAAAGACATTTATTTCAATGAGCACAAATGCACATTTTAACCGGAACATGGAAAATCTTAAGGAAACAATATAGTTGTTTATGCAGAATTCAGACATCGGAAGTATGTTGAATCAAAATTCAAGCAGTTCCCTTGAGCTTTTTGGCAATGCCAGCAATGTACTTTCCCTGGTGGAAAGCTTGTTCCAGTTCAAGTTCAGAAGGCTGTCGAGAGCCATCTCCAGCAAAAGTTCCAGCACCATATGGTGATCCACCCTTAATCTTCTCCATCTCGAACATGCCAGCTCCAAACGTGTAGCCAATAGGCACGAAAATCATTCCATGGTGAACAAGCTGGGTAATGGCTGTCAAGCTGCACATTTTTTAAAGAAAAAAAAATTAGTCTTATTGGGTAAAACAAAATTGTTTTAATATACCACGGTTCTCAACAGACTTGCAGGTTATGTAGCAATCGATGAGATAAGGACTCACGGTGTAGTCTCCTGGCCGCCTCCTTGAGATCCAGTGCTGTAGAAGAGGCCTGCTGGCTTGCCCGCCAGCGCCTGGGTTCTCCACAGACCTCCAGTTGCATCAAGAAATGCTTTAAATTGAGCAGCCATCATTCCAAATCTAGTAGGGAAACCAAATATAAGCCCATCTGCCTCAGTAAGCTCATTGGGGGAAATGATTGGCACATCACTCTTTGGGGCCGCACTCATCTTCCCTAGAATGTCATCAGACAATGTCTCAGGTACCTGTTCCATTACATTATCATTTTATCATAATGTGCCATGATTTTTCCTTTCAATTTCAAGACCACCTCTTCTTTTTGTAAAACAGATAACTGTCAATGTCCTGCTAAGCAGTACTCAAAATGAAACAAAAGGTAAATGGTCTTTGAACTTCGTCTATGATTACTTAACTAAATTCCTAATTGAAGAACCAACCACAGAATAAGAGGGCTTTTGCAAACCTGCCATAATTTTGCCTCTACTCCTTCGACAGATGCAGCTCCTTTCTGAATCTCTTGTGCCAGCTTCTCAACATGTCCGTACATTGAGTAGTAACTGTAACAACATCAAGTTTTATACCATTAATCCTCTCAGGTAAAAAAAAAAAAAACCTATACACCCAGCAAAATGCATCAATTCAAGAAGCCATGTCGTTTCTGCAATCACAATGTTCAGAGGAAGAATGTAGCATATGAACATGCTGACAGGATAGGAAATATAGAATTTAAGGACACTATCCCAGAACTTCAGTAACACATATCTATCAGAGTAAAGGCATGAAGCATCATTAATCCAATTTTTCAAAAAATATTTCATCTAAAACACCATGAAAGCTTTAGAAAATTGCCATGGCATGATCAGTCATGAAAGCACACCAGATAAACAAACCAAATCTCATATCTCTGTTGAAGACAGTATGAATACCAAAGGCACCTCAAAAAATGGCATACATAAAGAAGCTAAGCTAATATTAATCAACATGATTGGGTTAGGATAACAGATCCAAAAAGAACTTAATTTCTTTTGAGAAACTATATTGATAATAGCTTCTCCGCAAGTAGGGTCGAAGTTGCGTACATCAATCCCTCTCCAGACTCTGTAATGGCGGGATCCTTGTGCTTCAGGCTGCCCTTTTTGAAAAAATCTCTATTGATAATAGATATATAACAGATGAACAACAGAGATATATAACATCAACATTTGTGAAATTAAAACCTGATGCCGGAAAGAATAGCTTCTTTTTGATCAACCATATACCATGAAGAATAAATTCAAAACCATATACCCCTAATGAAGACAGCAGTTCTAAGATCCTTTAACAATTGTTCAAACAAGTAGTCAAAAACAAGCATTCAATTTAGAAAACTTGAATTAAAAATAAAATTTGCAGCAAACCCTAAACATCCGAAAAGCTCATATGACAAATGAAAACAATAAGCCGGGCTTAAGATCAGGTAAACCTAAATACTATAGTACCCACCAAGATAAGCAAGAAACCAATACCAATAGAGTATACGAAGAACAATGACAGACCACACAGTCATAACTGATAATGCAACAACATTGGATTTCTAGAAATAGGAATCAAAACGCATTTCTTGATCATAGAGTCTTGAGATTGGGGATCTAACAAATACAAATTATTAAATTATTCAATGACACTGATCAAACAGAGTCAATTTGAACAAACACATTTTGATTGTTGCACAATGTGGTGCAAAAAATCCAAGAACAATATGTGTCAAGAAAACAGAGAACCACCATATCACAGAACTCTCTCCCACACAAACTACAGATACAGAAACATAAACATATATATATATATAGGTGGAGAGAGAGAGAGATGCATACACAATATAGACTTTGGTGGCCATTGGAAGAATCGTTTCTCTCTCTAAAGTATGCAAGGAAGAAGGGTGTTTGTTAAACAGAGGATGGATAGGAGAGGGAAGACTCCCCTGTATTTATGGTGAAAAGTGAGCTGTCCTCTACTCTACATACTTAGTTAAGCATTTTCTGATTAACCCTAAGTTAATGGGCTAATTACTTCATTAGTCGGGCCATTATTGAAATAATATAAAATCCCATTACTTGTTGATGTCACGCTGATAATCACTTTCGTAATAATTACTATTTTTTTTTGTATTTATAAAATTCATAAATTTTCACAGCTGGCATGTCCACTTGAAAATTATAATATGAGGCTGGGAAAAAAAATCATAATCCTTTCGGTTATGCTTTCATTCAAAAAAAAAAAAAAAAAATTTGGTTCAATGGTTAGGAGTGTTTGAATAAATTTATGTACACTTCGACTAATTTTTTTTTAGGTCCAATTAGGAGTTTAACTTGGGCGAGCCAATTCGAATTCAACCTGAAAAAAAATAGGACTTGTGTTATAATTTTTAATACTTGGGTTGGACCTAAGCAAAAAAAATCTCAATCGGAATTGAATTTGGGCAAGCCTTGGATTGAGCCATATGGTTGTCGACGAGTTCAACCCGAATATACATAAATATATAAATATATTTAACTAGAGTTAGTATTTAACTTCACTTTTTAAAGTTCAGACTTTCATTTTATTTCAAGTCTTCACACTTGCACCTCCATCACTCTTAGATCTCTCTCTCGCTCGTCACTCTTCTCTCTCTCAATTGTCACTCGTCTGAGTTGTATCAGACTCTCAGTCTCCCTCTCTCGCTCATCACTCTTCCCTCTCTCAGTCCCTCTCTTTTCTTTTGCGTATCACCCTTCATTTCAGATCACTTAAAAAAATTAGATCTACACTTGAAAAAATTAAATCTACACTTCAAAAAATCAACTTGAATATATTTAACTAGAGCCCGCCCAAATTAAACTCAGGCAGTACTCGAGTTGAGTATCTCGGATTGATGTAGGATTAGGATTAGGGTTAGGATTGAATATTTTATGCCTAGGGTTGGACTAGATTTGACTTATTAACCCGCTCGAATTGCACTCCTAGATCCGGTCAAAGACAAACCGTTTACACTAAAACTAGGATATTCATGAGCGAAAATTTTCTTATTTTATGATCATAAAAAATTATCAAAATTCAAATTTAAGATGTTTAAGTTTACAATTCGTTGTTGTTACCACTTGAACTACCTCACTCAATTTTACTCGATATTAAATTATCTATTGTGTATAGGTGAAAGACCCGCTTAAAATTTATAAATATTTCACAAGTTCATGGTGAGTGATCTAACATTTAGTTAGTTACCCCCCAAAAAAAAACAGATCTAGTATTTAATGAAATTATGCAAAAATATTAGTAGAGAGTATCTCAATTCAAAACAGAATAGCTGGTCTAGTGGGGATAGTAGAGTCACGGATAAAGTTGTGTTGCTCAAATTATTACCTAAATTTTATATCTCAAATCAATGCAAATGGTTGAATTAGTAAAATTTATTAACTCTACCAAATATTCAATACATGAAATTTTAACATATCACTTAAAATACAAGATTTGTGCAACAAATTTATGCAAAACAGTTTTATCCATAGCATTGCTCTAAAGCTATTAATGGGGTTTTTCTTTTCATGCTTAAATTTTCCTAATTATATCTATTCATATTACTTAATAGTCGACTTGTATTATGCTCGTTTCGTAAGTTAATTTATTTTTAACTCAAGTATATTGAGGTTTAATTTATATTATTCCACTTCGTGTGTGTCTATTTCGTGATGTTTGATAACTCAGCATTAAGAATTGTCGGTCTTTTAAAATTCTCAAATAATTCTCGCTAAAATAACAAAACTTCATAATAGGTTATTTCTAACCCAAAGGGCCGCTTCACAAAAATAAAGAGCATTTTTTAGAATTTTTTTCATTTCTATTATTTTTATCTGACTTAATTTTACTTTACTAGCTCAAAGATTTTAAAATTACACTTTCCTCCTTAAAAATAAAAGTTTCATCACCTTTTATTTTGTTTAAGGAGTCAACTACGCTACCGAACAAACAAATTATGTACCGTACCATCAAAATTTACAAGCTTGTGAGTTGAGATACAAGTTTTATTGTTTGTTTGTTTGTTTACTACAATGGATTAATGTGCATCAGCTGCCACTAACAGTTTTTATTCAGAAAAGAAGGTACCCAAAAATAATCGAGGACAGGTTTTCGGCTGTTCATACTGAAATACAAACAGAAATTAAAACTCAAACAACAATCTTGACCAAGTGTAAGCAAATTTTATCATCGACAGAAAAAACAATATCGAGAAGCATGCGAAGAAGATGAAACAAAGACATTTATTTCAATGAGCACAAATGCACATTTTAACCGGAACATGGAAAATCTTAAGGAAACAATATAGTTGTTTATGTAGAATTCAGACATCGGAGGTATGTTGAGTCAAAATTCAAGCAGTTCCCTTGAGCTTTTTGGCAATGCCAGCAATGTACTTTCCCTGGTGGAAAGCTTGTTCCAGTTCAAGCTCAGAAGGCTGTCGAGAGCCATCTCCATCAATAGTTGCAGCACCATATGGTGATCCACCCTTAATCTTCTCCATCTCAAACATGCCAGCTCCAAACGTGTAGCCAATAGGCACGAAAATCATTCCATGGTGAACAAGCTGGGTAATGGCTGTCAAGCTGCACATTTATTAAAGAAAAAAAATTAGTCTTTTTGGATGAAACAAAATTGTTTTAATAGACCACGGTTCTCAAACAGACTTGTGGGTTATGTAGCAATCGATGAGATAAGTACTCACAGTGTAGTCTCCAGGCCGCCTCCTTGAGATCCAATGCTGCAGAAGAGGCCTGCTGGCTTGCCTGCCAGCGCCTGGGTTCTCCACAGACCTCCAGTTGCATCGAGAAATGCTTTAAATTGAGCAGCCATCATTCCAAATCTAGCAGGGAAACCAAATATAAGCCCATCTGCCTCAGTAAGCTCCTTGGGGGAAATGATTGGCACATCACCCTTTGGGGGCGCCCTCATCTTCCCAAGAATGTCATCAGACAATGTCTCGGGTACCTGTTCCATTACAAAATCATTTTATCATTATGTGCCATGATTTTTCCTTTCAATTTCAAGACCACCTCTTCATTTTGTAAAACAGATAACTGTCAATGTCCTGCTAAGCAGTACTCAAAATGAAACAAAAGGTAAATGGTCTTTGAACTTCGTCTATGATTACTTAACTGAATTCATAATTGAAGAACCAACCACAGAATAAGAGGGCTTTTGCATACCTGCCATAATTTTGCCTCTACTCCTTCGACGGATGCAGCTCCTTTCTGAATCTCTTGTGCCAGCTTCTCAACATGTCCGTGCATTGAGTAGTAACTGTAACAACATCAATTTTTATACCATTAATCCTCTCAGGTAAAAAAAAAAAAACTATACCTCCATCTAAATGCATCAATTCAAGAAACCATGGCGTTTCTGTAATCACAATGTTCAGAGGAACAATGTAGCATATGAACATGCTGACAGGATAGGAAATATAGAATTTAAGGACATGATCCCAGTTCATATGATAAATAAAACACCTTAAACTTCAGTCACACATCACTATCAGAGTAAAGGCATGAAGCATCATTAATCCAATTTTTCAAAAAATCTTTCATCTAAAACACCATGAAAGCTTTAGAAAATTGCCATGGCATGATCAGTCATGAAAGCACACCAGCTAAACAAACCGAATCTCATATCTTAGTTGAAGACAGTATGAATACCAAAGGCACCTCAAAATATGGCATACATAAAGAACATTAGACAGACCACACAGTCATAACTGATAATGTAACAACATTAGATTTCTAGAAATACGAATCAAAACGCATTTTTTGATCATAGAGTCTTGAGATTGGGGATCTAACAAATACAAATTATTCAATGACACTGATCAAACAGAGTCAATTTGAACAAACCCATTATGATTGTTGTACAATGTGGTGCAAAAAATCCAAGAACAATGTGTCAAGAAAATAGAGAGCCACCATATCACAGAACTCTCTCCCACAAAACTACAGATACAAAAACATAAACATACATATATATATATATATATACACATATAGGTGGAGAGTGAGAGAGATGCATACACAATATAGACTTTGGTGGCCATCGGAAGAATCGTTTCTCTCTCTAAAGTATGCAAGGAAGAAGGGTGTTTGTTAAACAGAGGATGGAGAGGAGAGGAGAGACTCCCCTGTATTTATAGTGAAAAGTGAGTTGTCCTCTACTCCACATACTTAGTTATGCCGTATCGTTTTGAATTTTAAATTTGATTCTAAAATTTAATCAATGTAATATTATTATTTTTGAGTGGGGTCATTATTGAAATAATGGGCTAATTATGTCATTAGTGGGGTCATTATTGAAATAATATAAAATCCCATTACTTGTTGATGTCACCCTGATAATCATTTTCGTAATAATTACTATTTTTTTGCTTTGTATTCATAAAATTCATAAATTTCACAGCTGGCATGTCCACTTGAAAATTATAATATGAGACTGGGAAAAAAATTATAATCCTTTCGGTTGTACACTCTCCGTTCCTAAATATCTGTCGTTTAAGATTTTTATACAGAGATTAAGGAAGCTATTAAATAGCTCTAGTATGAGTAAAAAATAATTACACAAAACTAAAATACCTTTATTCAATAAGTATTGGAAAAAAAAAATTAAAGACACTTAGCATACACCTAATTTATTAAGGACTTATTAGAAAACAGAGATAAGGGTACAATAATGAATTATTTTTACAAATTTTTAGGTTATATTATAACTTTTATCGGTCATTTATGACTTTTGTGAATTATTTGAAATATATCCTAAAAATTTTAAGATAGATCACAAGTAACTCCAAAAGTTATAAATGACCCACAAAAAATTGTAAATAACCCTTAAAAATTATAAATAACTCTTAAAAATTAGAAAAATAAACCATAAAATTTATTATAATGGTACAGTATCCCCAAAAAAAAA